CTTCCTTCCTAGTGGAGCTTTTCTTTCTCTTCCTTCCTTCCTTCCTTCCTTCCTTCCTTCCTTCCTTCCTTCCTTCCTTCCTTCCTTCCTTCCTTCCTTCCTTCCTTCCTTCCTTCCTTCCTTCCTTCCTTCCTTCCTTCCTTCCTTCCTTCCTTCCTTCCTTCCTTCCTTCCTTCCTTCCTTCCTTCCTTCCTTCCTTCCTTCCTTCCTTCCTTCCTTCCTTCCTTCCTTCCTTCCTTCCTTCCTTCCTTCCTTCCTTCCTTCCTTCCTTCCTTCCTTCCTTCCTTCCTTCCTTCCTTCCTTCCTTCCTTCCTTCCTTCCTTCCTTCCTTCCTTCCTTCCTTCCTTCCTTCCTTCCTTCCTTCCTTCCTTCCTTCCTTCCTTCCTTCCTTCCTTCCTTCCTTCCTTCCTTCCTTCCTTCCTTCCTTCCTTCCTTCCTTCCTTCCTTCCTTCCTTCCTTCCTTCCTTCCTTCCTTCCTTCCTTCCTTCCTTCCTTCCTTCCTTCCTTCCTTCCTTCCTTCCTTCCTTCCTTCCTTCCTTCCTTCCTTCCTTCCTTCCTTCCTTCCTTCCTTCCTTCCTTCCTTCCTTCCTTCCTTCCTTCCTTCCTTCCTTCCTTCCTTCCTTCCTTCCTTCCTTCCTTCCTTCCTTCCTTCCTTCCTTCCTTCCTTCCTTCCTTCCTTCCTTCCTTCCTTCCTTCCTTCCTTCCTTCCTTCCTTCCTTCCTTCCTTCCTTCCTTCCTTCCTTCCTTCCTTCCTTCCTTCCTTCCTTCCTTCCTTCCTTCCTTCCTTCCTTCCTTCCTTCCTTCCTTCCTTCCTTCCTTCCTTCCTTCCTTCCTTCCTTCCTTCCTTCCTTCCTTCCTTCCTTCCTAGTGGAGCTTTTCTTTCTTTCTTTTATTAAATATATTTTTATTGATTTCAGAGAGGAAGGGAGAGGGAGAGAGAGATAGAAACATCAACGATGAGAATCATTGATTGGCTGCCTCCCGCACGCCCCGTACTGGGGATCGAGCCCACAACCCAGGCATGTGCCTCTGACCGGAATCAAACCCGGGATCCTTCAGTCTTCTGGCCAGCGCTCTATTTGCTGAGCCAAACTAGCCAGGGCTATTTTGCATGAATTTTATTTGAATTGCCTATTAGCCATCCAGGTTGGGGGGTGGGGGGTAAATAGACTGTAGCATATTGAAATCAGGAGCTCCCTGATTGTCAGCTGTGGCTGGTTGAGAGCCATGGATTCAGGAAAAGATTGGCATAGGCCAACCCCTAGGGCCAGGTCAGAGGAGGTGGGAGGGGAAGTAAATGTTGCAAGAAAAAGGAGGTACTCCTGGTGCTGGGTGCTGCTGGAGGTGGGGGAAGGGCTGGCAAGAAAGCTGAGGCAGGGTGACCTTGACAAGAATTTCAGTGGAGTGATGAGGACAAAAGACGGGTGTGAGTGGGTCAAAGGGAAGTAGGGAGAGGGTGTGGAGACAGAGGAGTAGAGATAAGGAGGAAAATGCTCTGAAGCGCAGCTGAGGAACTGGGTGGTATCTGGAGCAAGGAGCTCAAGGAAGTGTTTTTTGTTTTTTAATGAGATACTACAGAATCACTTCTCACTTCAGACTAAACTCTCCAGGCATCAGCAGCACAAGGGGAAAGTGAGTGGAACGCCATGACGTGGCTTGTGGAACCCAGCGCCCATGGTTGTGTCCACAACCCACTGAAGTCTGAGGCCCCAGGGAGGGAATGAGAGGCGTGTGTGTGTGCTTACGTCTGGGTTCCGGAAATACCTGTCTGTGTAAGGACCCAGGGGGGCACAGGTGGGGAGACCTCAGCCTCTGATCCACAGACGGAGGCTGGTGGTGGGTGGGAGGACGGAAGGAAACCGCTTCTCACATTGCAGCAGGGGCCGAGCACCTGAGGCTGTGGGGGGGCGAGGGGGTCAGCGCTAGTTCCTCCGAGTCAGGTCCGTAAGCCACTGGGAGAGGCCTTGCTGTGGGCTCCTGTTTCCTCAGACGAGGGAGGAGGAGGCGACAGCAAGAATGAGGCTGCCCCTCCAATCCAGATAGGCTTCCTGGAACAATTGGGTTGGAAGGTCTAGGTGTTGGACCTCCAGGGAGCTGCTGGTGACACAGGGACGCTGATGCAGAACCTAGGCATTGCCCCAGAGAGGCTGGGGGCAAAACGGATGACTTTTCAAGGGTCCAGCCCCCGAACACACACATCCCCAATCCAGCCTTGTTCCCTAGGCAGTCAGCCTCTCTGTTCTTCAGCTCCCCCTCAACCTCCATCTCTCACCCCTTGACTCCAAAGTCCGAGCCAAGAGCTGGGGGGGTTTAGCTAGAGCAGCGGTTCTCAACCTGTGGGTCGCGACCCCTTTGGGGGTCGAACGACCCTTTCACAGGGGTCGCCTAAGACCATCGGAAAACATATATAATTACATATTGTTTTTGTGATTAATCACTATGCTTTAATTATGTTCAATTTGTAACAATTAAAATACATCCTGCATATCAGATATTTACATTACAATTCATAACAGTAGCAACATTACAGTGATGAAGTAGCAACAAAAATAATTTTATGGTTGGGGGTCACCACAACATGAGGAACTGTATTAAAGGGTCGCGGCATTAGGAAGGTTGAGAACCACTGAGCTAGAGGATGGAGTAGTGGGGTACCCAGGATGACCCCGTTTCTCCTCCCAGCTCCCGCTCCCCCCAAAGCAAGAAGCATGCACAGTGGAAAGAAGCAGGCAGCTATCTTCCTCAGCATCTACTGCAGCTGTAGGGGGCAGGATGCTCACGGCCATCCCACCCTGAAGCCACTCATCTGCCTAGAGGGGCACCCTAATGTGCTCCTGTCTTGCTAGGACATGAACCGGGTCAGTCTCATTCACCAGGTCTTTGCAGGGACGTGTTGGACCTCCAGGGAGCTGCAGGAGCCCTCGGGGGCGGCAGGACAGCCACTCGTACAGGTGGGCTCACGCTCTGCTGGTCTGGCCAGCCATCCCCCATGCCTGCAGAACAGCAGCTCAGGACTCCATCCCAGCAGGTGGTGAGGGCAGGAGTCGCTGCTCGTCCTTGGGCTGGCGGCAAGGGTGGAGAGGACCTGGGGTTAACACTAGGGAGGTCCTGGGTCAATCCAGGGCCCGACGGTGGTGGAATCATTTGCTAAGAAGGCCAGGTCAAGGCTCATCCCATGGGCTGGACTGGCCGGACCCCATCGCAGATCGGGCCCGCGGGCCCGCGCGCACCACCACCTCCCGACACAG